CTAACTTTGATTCATATTCTTTTATGCCTTGTATAACTTTATTAATATCTTTTAGCTCATTTAGAAATAGTGCCTTCCAGTTTTGATCTGCTGAGTGTGCATTTCTGCCTTGCTCTCTTGTAAAGATGTTATTTTATTCCTTATTCCCTCATTTTTACTTTTAGTAACTTTGTATGGGATTTAACTTCTGTACTTTTTGTTTCTCTTTTATGTGAATTTAGTATTCCTGAATTTTTAGAAAGAATCTTTGTTCAGATAATTTGTAACTTCATAGAGCCCCGTCTTCTGTTAACATTATGGCAGCTTGTTTTCTGAGGATTCCTGGTTCTAATGCCTCCCCTCCCCCTCTCTGTAGTCTGGCTCTTCTATTTTCCTTCTTCCATGTTGTCCTACTTAATTTTGATTCTGCTCCCAGAAGTTGTTCCTTACTGTGAGCCCTGTCCTGGAAGGGAGCCCTGGCCTGCTAGTTTTGAAAGTTCATAGGGGATTAAACCCCTCCATGCCCTATGGTCTTACCTCAAGTCTCTTGCCACCTCTGCACCATTGGAGCAGGCACACACACATCCTCTCTGTGCAGCTGCTGGTCTCCAACTGGCCCTGCACTTGCTAGCTAGTACCCATGGGCAGCTTTGGAATTCTCCTGTTTTCAAGTTCCTAATGAGTCCAGATTGCCTCCTACACGGATGCTATAATACCGGGTTTGTAACTGTGGTAGTTCGTTCCCCGAGCTTGTTTTGAATTTTTTTGGGGGATAACTTGTTATTTAGTTATTTGGTAAAAGTCTTGGGTTTTTGGTTTTGCTGTTTGGTTGTTCAATGATATGTGTGGGGATTCAGGAAGATCCCAAAATGATGCTATCTTTTGATAGCATGATGCCAGATTCTTTTGCCTTAAATAGGGTGCTGAATATGGTTTAGTTTTTTCCTTAATATTGTTGTCTTTTGATAGATTAAAAGATACCTTTATAAATATCATTTACTTTATTATGATGACTCAGGTCAGTTGAGATGGATTTAACTAAATCTTCAGGCTTTTGTCTTTTTTTATAAAAGATTTTATTGGGGAATTGGGGGAGGGAACAGCATTGGGGAATTGGGGAAGGGGAACAGACAAGTTGCTATCCTTTTGTTCTTCAGTCTAGTTGTGGAGGGCGTCGCTTCACTGGCCCATGTTGGTATTGTGATCATTGCGCTCTTCCCGGCTGAGGCAGATCAGTCGCCGGCCATTGGATCACCACTCATGGTAGCTCATGGCAGCCCACTGGAGCCCCACTGCAGCCTATGCCGTCGCCAGCGACTCACAGCAGCCCAGCTCCAGGTTGAGCTGTTGTTCAAGATCTTAGCTGTAGCGAGTGCAGTGTCACTGGCCCATGTGGGATCCGAACCGGCGACCCTGCTGCTCAGAGCTGGAGTCCCAAGCCAACTCTTAACCAATGAACTGCTCGGCTGGCCCAGGGTTTTGTGTTTTTAATAGATTTTTCTGTCTTGTGATGTTGAATTTCATTTGTCTCTACTACTGATGTGACTAATAGCTTCTTTTCTCATTAGGGTACTTTTTCTAATCTGTTGAAGGTTTTGAAGTCTATTTATTAAACTTTACAATTCTTTGTGAAGTAGGAGTAAGTAGATTGAAAGTTTTGAGGGAAAGGAAGTTTTGCTTTTATTATTGAGACCTTTTTGCTTTCCTTGGAGGTGTTGAAGCTTTGTGCTGAATAGGCAAGTTGATAGCTGAGGTAGAAAGAATGAGGCAAGGATTCAGTGTTTTCTCAATGACCTGGTGTAATGGGATTGAACCTTTTTAAAAACTGCTAGGAGGACAGTATAAAATTTTCTTTTAAAATACATTTATTTAAGTAAAAATTAGTTGATTTGAAGAAATACAATTCTCACTGCATAATAGTAAAACAACCATAAAAATGATCATGTAAGCTGAAACTATGCAAAATAGTTTTAATAGGAAAATTATGATGGGTTTGTGACCTTTAAATTTTTTTGTTAAAACATTAACTCTTACAGTTAATTATAAAAGTATAGGGAGACAAAAATAGTAAAATCACTATTTAGTGTAGTATAACTTAAAACATTAGGAGCATTGAAACTTGTTTTATTGCTTTGTAAAAAACTTTATCAAGAGTAGTTTAAACAGTGCTTCCCTTCACATCTTTTCTATGCCTTGATGACTTTCAACATTTTTTCCTTTGCACTTTGAATGTCATGAAATATCCAATAGTTTCTTTAATTTGAAGTATTTTCCTGGAGTTGCTTCCTCTGGGCTAGCCTCATCACAGCGACTTTCTTCATTGATGTTGATAGGTTCTCCTTTGCTAAGTTCCTCTGGCTGTACATCTAGAGGCGTTCAAACCACAGCAGTGTCAACATTGCCACAGCCAGCTATTTCTTCTGTAACTTCACTTACATTGGAGTCGAATTTCACTTCCAGCCTATCACTTTTCATTTCTTTGCTTCACTTTCATCTTTGTTGTTAAATTCCCTTTTTGGATTATCCATATGTGTAAAATGTCATGTGGATTTATGACCAGATGTCAAGGAGGGAACAACTGCACTTTTGTCTGCTGTGCAATAACAAATCAGCAACATACTTTGAAAGAAGGGATATGGTTGGTTACTAATCATGATGCTCATCTGTTATTTATGTGATTATTTGTAGACTGAAGAACTGGCATTGAAGTTTGTACTTTATGTACTCACAGTTAATATGTGGTAACTGAAACTTGAACCATGTAGGGGGCTGGTCTTAGTTCACTAAGCCTTGGTATAAATCATGGTAACTGAAATTCGTGCGTATCAGAATCATGCAGAATGAGAACTCTGTCTGTAATATAAAAAAACGGTGTACTTGAATTTGGTAAAAATTGTGAAGGTGATAATGGGGCTGAATCTGAGAAATTTGTACAATAACATAGTGGTCTTCCAAAAATACTTTATTATTTTTTTCCAAAAATGTAGATTAAGATTAAGAGATTTTTAGATATATTCCTTAAAGGGGAACGTGTGTATGTACCTTAAGACTAAGGGCAAAGGTCTGAAAGGAGAAAGTTTTAGTATTTTTTGCACTAACATAGGCTATAAACTGCTTTCTGTGATTTGATTTTTTCTACATTTTTCAGTATTCACAGGATTAAAATCTTCATATTTGTAATCTGAGTAATTCTTTCTGGCCTGTGATTGGTCCCACTTGCAGATTCTCCTCTGTGGTGGTTCTGATAGATGCTTTTTTCATTATTGCAGCAGAAGCGTTGGTGGTGTTGTGAGGTCTACAGTTATTTTTTCACATAAATGCAAAGGGAACAGAGATGGAAAGGGTTACACAAGTGCCTGAAGGACTGAATTAAGCTTTTTTATGTGCAAATTTTTCAACTGGAGGGGGAAGAACTCCAAAAACATGTTTATTGTAAACATTTATAACATACTGAGAAGTATAAAGAGGCAAAAACTTAAGATCACCTGTAGTTCCATCACTCAGATGCAACCTCTGTTAATATTTTGGTGTATATCTGTCCATACTTTTCTTTTTATACATGCACAGAAGCACTTAGCAATTTTACACAAAATATTTATAAGTGGGACCATATTGTATATGCTTCCTTCAAGGATTTTCAGGGTGCATACACATTTTGAAAGCTTTTCTTAAGTATTGAAAACAGCGTATAGACTAGACTAAAATGAACACAGTGTACCTCTCACCCACTTTAATAATTTTAGTACATAGGCAGTCTTCTTTTATCCATACCCACCTACTCTTGCATTATTTTGAAGCCAGTGTCAGGTATACGTATATTTCAGCACACATAGTTAAAAATTTCACATTTGCCAAATTGTTTTTCAGAAACTCATCAGTGTATACTTGACAGCGATGGAATTACAAAAACCTTTAAAAACTTTTGGTGTTATAGGTTAGATGCATATATATCATTTTCCTCAGTTAATACAAAGAATCCTTATAAAGTGAATTTGAGCATGCTCATGCTGTGGCAGCAAACGTTACAGTTTCTCATCATCATATCCCTCATAGCAATGCTGTGAGTGTTAGATGGGATGACTACGGTATATAATTGTCCAAATGGGAAGCTTTTGAGGTTTGAAGGAGGTGCTGTTAAAAATAATGACAGTATGGGCTGGCCGAGTGGCGCGTTGGTTAAGAGCTGGCTTGGGAACGCCAGAGGGCCCCGGTTCAGATCCCACATATGAGGGACAGTGACACTGCCCTCTACAGCTAAGATGCTGAACAACAGCTCAACTTGGAGCTGGTTGAGCTGAACAACAGCTCAACTTGGAGCTGGTTGAGCTGAACAACAGCTCAACTTGGAGCTGGTTGAGCTGAACAATAGCTCAACTGCGAGTCACCGGCGACCTAGTAGGTTGCAGCCCCTGCTGCAATGGGTTGCCATGGGCTACCGTGTGTAGCTGGCAGCCAGCAGCCGCCGGGAGCGGCCGTCCAGAAGCCGGGGACTGATCTGCCTCGCCCGGGAAGAGCGCAATGATGGTGCCAACTTGGGCCAGTGAAGCAACGTCCTCCACAACTAGACTGAAGAACAAAAGGATAGCAACTTGTCTGTTCCCCTTCCCCCAATTCCCCAGCGCTGTTCCCATCCCCCAATTCCCCAAATAAAAATCTTTAAAAAAAAAATAATAATAATAATGACAGTATAACAGGCGTAAAGCAGGACTATATTTTGGCACAGCTGTGTTGTGTGCTTACCATATTACTAGATAATGCACATAAGATGCATTATACATAAAGTGACTATATCATGTAGTTAATAAATGGTAGCATTTATTAAAGTGTTTTTTATGTATGCTGGTATATGGATATGAATAAAAGAAATCTTCACTTTGGAACAAGTGTTTTGAATTGGCAACTCAGAACGTCTTAATTTACCAGTTTTTGTTTCTTTTTGTTTTTGGAGCTGATAGTGTGACCACTGGTTTTTAAAGTAACTCTAACTTTCATAATTAAGATGTTTGTATTTATATTTGCAGCTGGAGAATGCTGGAGGAGACTGTAAGGACGGTCACCTCTATGAAGGAGCTGTTGTCATTCTGGATGCTGGCGCTCAGTACGGGAAAGTCATAGACCGAAGAGTGAGGGAGCTGTTCGTGCAATCTGAAATCTTCCCCTTGGAAACCCCAGCATTTGCCATCAAAGAGCATGGATTCCGGTAGGCTTTTCACTTAGGTTTTTCTGAGGAGATTGAGCTTAGATTGTGGGATATTTTATTATTAAATTTGCTTGGGCACTGCTTTTTTCATCAATGGTTTTACAAGAAATTTCCCATGGTTCTGATTAAAGGAAAAATTTAAGTTTTCCAGTTAAAAAAATACCTTAATTTTAATTGCACAGTTGTGTGAGCTTATCATTTGAACGTTTTATGTTTTATGGGATTTGTGGTTCATACTTAGATATGACTATGAGTATTATGGTCATTCATTCGTATGATCCCAGAACATTGATCAAATGAATATATACAATGACTAGAATACCTAAATGAGAATTCTGTGTACAGTGAGTCTCTTTTGCTTCCTATCCCAAGAAAGAATTTCTAAAATATGAAGATTTCTTAAGTCTAATATAAGGGCTAATTTCACAGCTTTACTCTTAGAATATTCAAAAGGACAGCCAACTTATATGTAGTTTCTTCCTTTAACAACTATTTCTGGTTAATGCTATGTATGCCTTTTCTCATGGAATTACTGTTCTTTCTTATTCCAAAGTAAGCAACTGCAGTTTATATCCTCATTTGGCTCTTAAATGTTAATGCTGTGTTTCTTCCAAAACATAATGGTTTTCTTAAAAACATAACTATTTTTCTAATGGAAAAAGTTAACTTTTAAATACTTCATAGACGTGTATACAAGATCCTGTGATTCTTGTTTCTGAAAGAGTGAATTGGAAGCCAGAAAATGCAGATTTAATTTAACTCTGTTCTAGTCTTAGGATACAGATTAAAACAGCTATCTTTTTTAAACTGTAGAATTTTAGTGCGGGAGACCAGCTCCCAGAAGAAAGACATGCGGAGACACAGGAGCGCTTTCAAGAAGAAGTGTCTCAGTTTATTTTTTACAGCATGTCCTTTTTATACCGGACAGTTTACTATATTATTGAGCTGTTTTTTCCAGAGTTAAACTTTTACCCATTAGGAAGTTGTTTTTCTTATATGTTCTCTCCCAGGGTCTATTTTCCTGAGAAGTTGTTTTGTTCAGAGTTTTACCTTCTCAGTGATGTTTCTGTTACAGGGTACAGCCTGATCTGTTCTATACTAATGACTAACTTATCCTAACTATGTTTCAATTTCTACCTATAATGGCTAAAGCTGAGTTTCTGCCTTTGGCCCAAAGGATGTTTGCTGTAACTACTTAGCAATTATTTCAAACACTACTGGCTAAACAGGGTCTTAAGAATTATAAAGTGCATAATTTGTCTATTACTAAGAAACTAACAGCAAAACAGAATTATCGCAATATGTCTAAAACTCACTTAGTTGGTTAGGGTAAATAAAACAATATAAGAAGGGGTGTCAGATCTTTATCCTACTGGGGGCATCCAAAGGGGAATTTAAAATTTTCAAGATATAAAGCAGTATCTGTTTCTCAGTCAGAGCTTCAGAATTTGTCACAATAGCAGTGCACTTGGCCATGTCAGACACTGAGGTGCAGCCGGCTCCCAACATTTTAGAGTAAGACGGGACTCTTGAGTTTATCTAATTCACCTTTCTCCATTTGCCAATGAGAACCAGTTTTAAGGGAATCCAAAAACTTTGTGAGAAATCTGAATGGGTCTCTGTCACATCCAAGGTTCTTCATTTCCCCCTACCCAAAACAAACCAACAAAAGATCCCCAGCAAACTAATTGAGATAATTGTTTTAGAGTAGGGTAGACAGATAGTTGGCAATAGAAATCTATTGGGTTGTCGGAAAAGTCATGATGCGTTTTTGCAACAAAAAAAACCAGAAAAAAATACGTCATGACTTTTCCAACAACCCGGTAGTTGTTTTTCTCATCACCTGATCCTAAACAGTTCCTAGGTCCCGTCCTCCTTGTGCCTAGAGCTTCTTTTCTGTGTAGGAGAATAGGAACTGTAGCATTGTGGCTTTTGTTACTATAGTCCTTTCTGCCTAGATACCTAATTGATCACCCTTTTTCTTGAACAAATGTTAGTTTTATGACATAAGAGACATCTTAACCACCCTGGTTTTAGAACCTTGATCTGCCTGATAACATAAAATTTGTATCTGAAATGTCTTATGGTTTATTGGGCCTTGACTTGCAAATTAGTTTCAAAATAATAACAGGATAGAAATAGAAGACTCAGAATGAGCGATTAGCTCTTCTTACGACTTATTGAGCTAAGAATTTTCATAATTGGTTTAAGCACTGCTTGAATTTTATCCCTAAGACCATTGCCTTTTCAAGTATTAAGAATCTTAGAGCCTTGAGTTGTTTATCAGATTAATGAGGGATGCTGGGCAGTCCCATGGTGGTTATTATCCTTTATAAACTTATATAAAACATACTGAAATGCTAGCGGTTGTGATTATTAAGTATGTTTTGTAAAATTTTAGCATTTGCAATTTTAGGGCGCTAGGTTACATATCTTCCCATAGGAGTAACCCCACATCCTTTTAGGTTATCTTAAAGATGTTACATTTATCATCTGTTTACGTTGTCTTGTTTCTTTTTGCAGAAGATAGGCTAACAAGCATAAAATATACCATAATTCATGTTACCAATACAAAGTTCAAAGAGTGAGGCTTTTGAACTCAAATGATTATTATTATATTTTTTTAAAATGCTCTAGCTTGCCGAGTAATTTTTATGAATTTGACCTGTTATATTCTGGATGTATTATAAGCCTAGCATTTTAGTTTGTATGTTTTTACATGTCAGACAGCTACTAATTATAAAGTGAATTGTAATCCAGATTTGTTTGTAAGTAGATTTTGGTTAGACTTGGAATGCATTTTCCTTTAGAACTATAGATAAATCAGGATTCCTGCAAACTCAAACCTAAAATGAGTCTGAGGGTACCTTAAATTGAGTAAAGGGCTCGCGTTTGCCTGTATTATGTGGGTGGGCACGCAGCAAACTGGAGAGCATGGTTGGGCGATGGGCAAGTCACTCTCTGTGGTTCCAGTTCTTTGTAGCCATGCGACAGTGAAGGCCCAGTGTTGCCAGATTTTTTCCCTCTTTTTTACAAAGAAAATCCTGGCATCTGAATTTTTCTGTAAATTCATAATACTATTAAGATGTCCTAAATTTTTTTGAATGAATGCTGAGGGCCAAATTTGATGTATCAGTGGCCAGGTGAGCAACATAGGCCTCAGTTTGCGCTTCCTTTATACTAACAGTGTGACTCCCAAGTTGACCCATAGAATGCTCTATAAATTGTAGCCAAGTTATAATATTGACTTGTGTGCTGGGAGCAGGGCATGTGGGGCAAAAGTGATGTTAGCTCCCTTTCCCGGTCTCAGGTAAAGCTGTTGGGAATGTTGGACAGGTTTAAAACAGGCAAAGCTAGGTAATTCTTCACACTCTGCCATCCGTTGTTGTAGGGTATTTTGTTCTGAGTCATCCAGGGCCTTTATAATACCTTCAGTTGTCCTTTTGTGCCCTGCCTTGCCTGTTTACTCCTTGCCTCCCAGAAAGACCTATATTTTTTCCATCTTCCTTTAGAATTTTCATTTACTTCCTCCATTGGTGAGGAAAACAAAACAAATTCATGCTAACCTTCATAGATAGAAACATTGGTATTTATATTTTTGGAAGTTTTTGCTTATTAACAAGTGAATGTTGAATTGATAGACTTCCACAAATTGCAATAAAGTAGAATAAATTAATTAAGCTGTGTGAGAGGATGTTAATTAACTTATAGAAACTGGATAGCCTACAATATACTGAAAATATAAAATCTCTGAATCTGTAGACTTTGCATAAAAATCAGCAGTGAGAGATTCTTCACTGACTCTTCTTCTTTAAATCCACAGTGCTATTATCATCTCTGGAGGACCTAATTCTGTGTATGCAGAAGATGCTCCCTGGTTTGATCCAGCAATATTCACCATTGGCAAGCCTGTTCTTGGAATTTGCTATGGCATGCAGGTATATCTGTGAATTTGCCTTCAGAGTTGACTTAATTTTATTCTGTTTGTGACTCCTATTAGTATTTTCTGTCTTTAGAGTATTTAACATATTTAGTTGTATGAGATAATTTGCATATTACAACTCTATGAATTGCTGCACTAGTATAGCAGAACTGACCTAACTTAGTTTTGCCCGCTCAGCTTTATATAATTAAAATCCTACTTCATGTACTATTTTCAACCTTGGTTTTGAGATTCATTCAAGTTTTTCATTTTTACTAATGAATTTAGTATTCTAACATAGCACAAATTAATTGTACATTCCACTGGTTAGTATTGCTGGTCTTTTCCCAGTTTTTGCTATTACAAAACTACCATAAATATTTTCTATTTGTCTTTTGGCGTTGTACATACATAAACTTTTCTCTAGGGTAACCATAAATTGAAATGCTGAGTCTCAGATTCACTGGGTAATGATATTTGATATTTCTTCCCAGTTTACATTCTATAAAAATTGCTCTTCTGTGTATCCCTGCGAAGCTTGACATGGTCTTTTTTTTTTTTTTTTGGGTATCTTCCTATGTGAAGAGGTTTTAAAAGGATCACGTTGTAGTTTTAATGTTCATTTTCCTTATTATTGTAAGATTTGTATGTTTATTTGCCATTAGTGTCTGCTTTACTATAAAACCTTGTTCATGATTTTTGCCTATTTTTCAATTGATTTTTTTTAAATTCATTTATATATGCTGGATAGTAAACTTTTGTCAATTATGTATATTGCAGATACCTTCTAGACTGTTCATTCTTTATAATTTCGTTTGGCCTTTTTTTTTTTTTTAGTATTCTAAGAACATCTTTATTACAAGTGTTTGGTTTCCTTGTACACTTCCACAAGGTTTTCTCAAATTGTTTTTACTGGCAGAATTTCTTTCTCTGTTTTCCTCCCAAATCTAAACCTTATTGTAAAACTTGGGCAAATATGACAGGTAAAAGAGGGGCTGATATGATTAGGGTGGTAGACCTGGAGCACTACATGGCTTTCTTTGAGACATTTTAGACTTTGGGGTTATCAGGAATTCATACTGAAAACCATTTCCTTAAGCCAAAATAGAATATTAAAACAACAATTTAATAAGTAAATTGTTTTATTATACAGAAAGTTATCCCCTCCTTCCACAAACACACAGCTGATTTTTCAACTCCTTGCACTTTCAACCATAAGTAGCATAGTTAGGAACCAAAATTAAGTATGAAAGTCTTCTGAGCAGGTGAGAGCTTTAAACTTTACTGCAAGCCATTGACTTTCTAAAAAGACTTTAAACTTTGTATGGACTTTTAAATTGTGTATGGTTCCAACAGCTTTGGTTACCTTGATCATTCAACTGTCCTCTAATTAAGAACTGCAAATTAGGGGAGGCAGAGGTGTAGAAGGTTCACTGATTGTATTATAGAAGCACATTTCACTTAGCAAATTTGAATGGACTGCTCTGGACCATATGCATGTTAGGCCCCTGGGACTGAAGAGACCTGAAAAAAGACCTGAAGACATGGGGGTGAGAACATGGTCTGTTTTGGTAATCATGCTAGCTTGAACGGCTAGAGGAGAGAATGAAGGGGAAGCGGAGAGTGAAGGGGAAGATGAGACAGTGGCCATTTAATGAAGTCTTTGTTCAGTATAAGGGACTTGGACTTGATCAGAAAACTATGGCCTCCTGCCAAACCTGGCCCCACTGCTTGTTTTTTAATGACCTGCAAGCTGAGAATGGTTTTTGTGTTTTGAAATGGTTCAAAAAAATTTTTTTAAAGAATTATATTTTGTGATATGTGAAAATTAAATTAAATTCAAATTTCTGTGTTCATAAATAAAGTTTTATTGGAACACAGCCACATCCATTGCTTTAAGTATTGTCTATGCATGCTTTTGTGCTACAATGACAAGAGTTGAATAGTTACTCCAGAGACAGTAGGGCCAGCAAAGGCTAAAATACTTTCTGACCCTTCACAGGAAAAATTTACCAATCCCTGCCGGATATGCTAAAGAGCCATTGAAGAATTTAATCATGGATAACACAATCATATTTATATTTTAGTAGATAACACTGGTATGGGCATACCTCGGAGATACTGTAGGTTTGGTTCCAGACCACTGCAATAAAGCGAGTTGTAATCTTTTTGCTGGTGGAAGGTCTTGCCTTCAGTTTGTAAAAAAAAAAAATGCAACATCTGTGAAGTGCAATGAAGCGGAGCGTTATAAAACGAGGTATGCCTGTAATGGCTTAAACAAGGGTTAGAGAGTTTCTTTCCTGCTAGACTTAACTGGAACTTTTATTCAGGAAAGTTTACTGTGAATGTCTAAGAGGAAAATTGTAGCGGTCAGCATTTGGGGATGGTTTTAAATAATATGCCACCGTGCATTATAAGAATGAACGTTTATTTAGCCTTCTTGCTTTTCTGTTGGGATCTGGGTCAACCTGCATCATGTGTTATTATGGCAGATATCTTATGACACTTTTGGAACAGACACATCAAGATGAATTGTAGTGATTATATCAATGCAGATTTAATGTTTTTAAAAATCTTGCATTTATTTGGTGTTGGGGGTTTGGGCATATGTAAATGTAAATAAGAGTAGAAGATTGACAAAAGTAGGGGCAGAGTGCAGAGACCATTTGAAATAAGAGTCTGTAGGTGTATGGGATTTGAACAAATGAGTTTAATTGAAAGACCAGATTTTCTTGCTTATCCCAGCTCCATAGCACAGCCTTCTGTCGGCTTTCAGACTTCCTTTGGGACCAGAGATTGAACAGCTTGGAGAGATTTATACTTGTCTAGTTTTAATACCATAGCTCTTCTCGTTGACTACTCTAGCTTTTTCTAAGCTATTTTCATATTATTTTCATATTACCCTTTACAGTGCTTTTAAACTGAACTCAGGTGAAATTATTAAAGAAATCTCTATTTTTAATAGATGAATTAAAGTGCACTAAATGGAAAATCTGCCAGTGTTTAACAGAAATTAACCTCACATCAAATTTCTAATCTAGTTTTGTTTTATAACTATGTCTCTTAATAATTGTGCAATTGTATATAACAGTACCAAGTTTTCCAGATTTTTCAAACGCCCTTTTTTTGTGGGCACAAACATAACGTATCCTGAAAAGAAGGAATATAAATTAAATTAGCATAAGAAAACGGGTAATTTTCTTTTGATTTATATTAACATCAATTTATTTTCTCTTTGAACAGATGATGAATAAAGTATTTGGAGGTACTGTGCACAAAAAAAGTGTTAGAGAAGATGGAGTCTTCAGTATTAGTGTGGATAACACATGCTCATTATTCAGGTATTTTAGATATTTTTAGATGAATAGGAATGGTAGATTAACTAATTTAAAGTTTGGATTGTATGCTTCAAAATGGGAGATTCTGTAATTCTTAAACAATGTTAATGCCACAGTAGTGGCCAAAGGCATAATTACAGTATTTGTCTTCTGTTTGAGTGTCAAGACAGAGGAGGGAGGTGGTGATGCTAACATGACATAATTTAGAAGCACCTCTGCAGTCTTGGACACCTATTTGGGATTGCATATAGTGATGCCAACGTTTGTAGTTTTTCCTTTTCACTCTTTGGTAGAATGTGATTTTCAACATTTGATGTGATAAATGTATACAGTTTTAAACTGGCCTGCATCTAAGATGCATTTGTATACCTTTCCCCACCACATTCTTGCTGGGGAAATTTAGCAAGCTGTCTATTTATTAGACTCATTACTTAACATGTGTTTTGTTTCCCTCCTCCTCACTTTCTCTATGTTGAGCATAACTGTACATGGTGTACTATCTTTTTAATATGGTGAATGTATTAATTGATTTTATTGCTATGTGGCAATAGATTAGGTGCTATAGCTTTAATCTATATAAAAATAATGAACGAGCTGTTCACTAGCTTCCTAGAATTATCTTCTGCTTTACTTAAAAAAAAAAAATCACTGTTTTCACTCAGTTTTCTGAAAGACCAGAAAACTTATGTTTTAGTCACTTGCTTTCTTTTTGGGGTTTTTCTGTTTTGGGTAAAGCCCATTTTGATGGCCTGTTGGTTACTTATTTGCTTCTTTTTGACCTGAATTTCATTTTTATTTTAAAACCACATTTTCCTCTAACTGCGTTAAATCTGTAAAATGCAGGCTGATGTCAATTAATGAGCACATGTAGTTACTTTCTATCATCATTTCTTTTCACTGTGCTAATTATTTTTAATTATAGGTTTGTTTGATTAACATATATCCTTAAAGCCTCCCATTCACTTGTGCCTAAATTCTTAACAAATGGTTTTCTCCAAATTGGACATATCAGAATGTTTTTAAATTGAGTAAATTTGGTGTGTAATATTGTGTAAGTTTAAGATGTACAATGTATTACTTTGATACATTTATATATTATAATATGATTGCTGATGTAGTGATAATTTATCACATGATATAATTATAGTATAATGTTATCTACATTCACTATACTGTGCAGTAGATCTCTGTGGCTTATTTACTATTCATTATAAGTTTGTACCCTTAAACACCATCACTCTTATCCTCTCCCCACCCCCCGCTGCCCCAGTCCCCTTGGTAACCACCATTTTTCTCTATTTTTTACAGGTTTAACTGTTTTAGATTCTACATATAAGGGACATCATACAGTACTTTCTCTGTCTGACTGATCTTGCTTAGCTTAATGTGCTCAGGGTTCACTATGTTGTCGCAAGGAGGAGGACATCTTCCTTTCTCATGACTGAAGAATATTCCATATTGTATATGTACCACATCTTTTTTATCCATTCATTCATTGATGGGCATTTGGGTTGTTTCCATGTCTTAGCTATTTTGAGTAATGCTGTAATAAGTGGAATTGCTAGATCCTATGATAGATCTAATTTTAATTTTTTTAAAGAACCTGCATATTCTTTTCCATAGTGGTTGAACCAGTTTACAGTTCCACCGACAATGTGCAAGTGTCACCTTTTCACCACATCCTCACCAGCACTGGTTATCTCTTGTCTCCTTGATGATAGCCATTCTTACAGGTGTGAGGTGATGTCTCATGGTGGTTTGATTTGAATTTCCCTGATAAGTAGTGATGTTAAGCATCTTTTCATGTGTCTCTTGGTCATTTTGATGTCCTCTTTGGAGAAATGTCTGTTTAGTTTTTCTACCCATTTTTTAAATCAGATTTTTTTGTTTTTGTTTTTTGAGTTGACTAAGTTTTATATATATTTTGGATAGTAACTCATCCGTCAACAAATTTTAAGATCCTTGTCATGAATTTATTTTTATCTGAAATGTAGATACAATCCCAGTTTTTACACAAAACTGGCTATGGCTATGGCTAGCTCCTCTTTAATATTCAGGAAGAGCAAAAATAAGTAAACCTGTGTTCAAAGATTCTATTTTTCAAAGGAAGATTAATTAAAAAGCCAAGATTGCTTAAAAGAATTTTACACACTGAAGCTACTCATTGCCAAAATATGTTTGAAATCCAGTGCTAGTTCCACTTCATAATGAAGCGGTGTTGTCTGTATTCACTCACAGTATAACGTCCCACCAGGACTCCTAAAGCAGCTCTCAAGACGAGTCACTTAAGAACTGCTTTAGGAGTCCTGGTGGGATGTTCTACTGTCAGAGGCTTTAAACATAAAGATCTGGTCAAGATTTAATGTTTTTCTGTCTTTCTGGTTCCAAAATTCTGAGACTCAGTCACAACCTATACTAACCCTAAACAACAGTGTTGACAACAATTACAATACCAAAACATCCTTTAGCTTGAATGTACTTTATCCTCTTGCTTTATTTTTAATTTAATTTTTTATTTCTTAATATTTCAGATTTTCCTATAATGTACAAAATATCTTTTTATGATTGATGTTTAAATCAGGGTCCAGAGAAAGTTCACACATTGTATTTAATTAATGTTACTTACATCTCTTTTAATCCATGCCATTAATTTGTGTGGCACGAGAGATAGAGGTCCACATTGCGTCTGGGTCATTGTTTGTAGGCCTTTTCAGTGAACAAAGTTAGGCAGTATATATTCTTTTAGAAAGAGGAAACAATCATTAATGTATACTATTATTTCCAGTTAAAATGAAAGATTATAGGGTTTTTACCTAATGCCTTTGATTCTTTTTTTATTTCCATGCTTTAAATCTGAAACTCTCAATTCCTCATATATACTCTCAATATATTATTTATATTTGTTTTAACTTACAGTATACACATATCTATACTATATATATAGCTGCAAAATAACATTAGTACTAGTACTGAATAAAGTATTAAGATCTCTGAAATACCTCTTGTTTTTAAGATAAACACCAATAGAGATAAAATGTTGAAATTGTTATAGCCTCTTGAAATTATTATTTTTTTTGTGTGTGGTAATAATACCAAATTGATATATTTATTTGTCTCAGTTTTCAGTTTTTACAGATTGACTTTTTTTGAGATTTAATATTTTTTAATTGGCTTTACTTATAGCGGATAGAATAAATTTAAATTCTAGCAGTCTTGCACTGTTACATGCTTATTTCTGTTTTCTTGATTTACACATATGGCAAACTAGTATTTCTAAAGCTAAAGAATAAACTTCCAGTTATAAGATGAATAAGTTCTGGGGATCTAACGTACAGCATGGTGACTACTGTTAGAGAGTAGATCTTAAATGTACTCACCACACATGCAAAAAATGGTAATTATGTGAAATGATGGATGTGTTAACTAACCTTATTGTAATCATTTCAAAAAAATATATTACGTTGTACAGCTCAAACTTAACACAATGTTAGATGTCAGTTATATCTCAAAGCTGGAAAAAGCAAAGCAAAAGGATCCATTAATCATGTCTGTAATTAAGATATTTGTGTGTTGTGTTTTATTTCTTCTATGTTTAGGGGCCTTCAGAAGGAAGAAATTGTTTTGCTTACCCATGGAGATAGTGTAGACAAAGTAGCTGATGGATTCAAGGTGGTGGCACGTTCTGGGAACATTGTGGCAGGTGAAAATTCTAAAACTTTTGCAGATTTCATTTTAAAAAATTTATCTGAATAGTCTAAGACTATGTTTCTATATAAGGTACTGTTTTTGATTTTTCTGATTTTTAAAAGATACTTTAAATGTCAGGATCAACTATTAGTTTGTGAAGGAAATTAAATATTAGGAAGATTATCTAGAAGTCACCTACTGGTTTGCTCTGAAATATTTTTAAAAATGTTTATACTTATCACAAGTTTTTCAGACATAAAACACAGCAGCTATAATTTTACAGCTCAGGAAAAATGTGGGAGCTCTCCATCTTTCTAACATGCTATATTCATAATTGCCTTTTTAAATGCCTTTCTTAAGTATGCATAGGCATGTATCTTGGATGTCTGCAAAACACCAGAGTCAGCATTCAGGACATTTCTCTGAACCAGGGTTGGCAAACTATGACCTATGGGTCAAATCTAGCCGGTAGCCTGTTTCAGCATGTCCAGGAACTAAGAATGATTTTTTACATTAAAGGATTATAATAAAAAAGACTATATATGTGTTTCACAAAGCCTAAGATTTTTACTGTCTAGCTCTCTGTAGGAAATTTGCCAACCCATGCTGTAAAACCATTTTTGTCATCTACTTTTTTGAGGAAGAGGAATTGATTTTCTGGCTGCTTGTATTTGCTTGCTTACTTGAATAATTGTAAATAATCACCACTAATCCTGGAAATCAGTAAAAGAAAAAAATGGGTTTATCAATACATTTCTTGATGTTTGAAATGCCATATCTTAATAATAAGTTGAAGAAACGATTTGTCCTGGATAAACTGAATTGAGTGAGTAATCGGCCCCAGTTACTTAACAGACTTAATATATTAGCATGCATATGATCAAGAATGGTTTTCATATTGAAATGCGTTTACTTCATATAAAAGATCAACAGTGGTGGATGGCTTATGTATTTTTATTCATTTAAAAAATATTTGAGCACCTACTATGTGCCAGGCACAGTGTATCCTTGGCACAGTGCTAGGTGCCAAGGATACAGTAATGAACAAAATGGGCAAAATCTTTAACATTCTAGTTGGGGGAAGGGGTGGGACAGACAATATACAGACAAATACAGAATATATCAGGTGTCAGCATTTATTAAGTACATTGAAAAAATAGGGCAAGAGAGGAGTGTTGCAGAATATGTGTGATTAGTGTTGTTAATGTTTTATATCAGATATTCGGGGAAGGTATTTCTGTAAGATGAAATTGGACATGAAGGAAGTAAGTGCTGACCCTTCTGGATATTTGAGGGAAAAAGAAAGAACAGTACAAAGCTTCTGGGATGGGACCCTGTTTGAGGAACAGCAAGGAGACGACGGGGTTTTGTTTGGAGTAAACGTGGGGGAGAGTGGGAGAAGTGGAGGCCAGAGAGGTTGCTGGGGACCAGAACACAGGACCTTCGAGGACATTACGAAAACATTCTTGGCTCATAGTGAGTAGGGGTTTTGAATAAAGGAGAGACGTGATCTAATTCCTGGCTATAGTGAGGAGAAAAGAGACAGGGTCAGATGTCGAAGCAGCGAGACCAGCAAGGTGTCCATGGAATCAGGAAGGGAGAGAACGGTGTAGGTGATGGGCGGCAGAGGTGGGGGTGGTCAGGAGGGATTGGATTCCCGCAGAGATTTGTACATACATATTTTGTTAGATTTATACCTAAGTATTTCATTTTTTGGGGGGTGCTAATGTTAATTGTATTGTGTTTTAAATATCAAATTCCACTTGTTCATGGATGGTATATAGGAAAGCAATGAACTTTTGGTTTTAACCTGTATTCTACAACTAAAGCAGTAATTCTGCTGTAATCACTTATTAGTTCCAGGAGTTTTTTATTGTTGATTCTTTCAGGTTTTTTGTATAGGTGATCATGTCACCTGTGAACAAAGACAGTTTTATTTCTCTTTCCTGGTTTGCGTACTATTTATTTCCTTGTCTTGTCTTTTTGTATTAGCTAGGACTTTTAGTACGATGTTAAAAAGCTGTGGCTAGAGGGAACATCCTTGCCTAGATCCTGATCTTAGTGGGAAAGTTTTGAGTTTCTTACTGTTAAGTATGATGTTAGCTGAAGGTTTTTAGAAGATAGTCTTTATCAAGTTGAGGAACTCCCTTTCTGTTCTTAGTTTACTGAGTTTTTATCATGAATGAGTGTTGAATTTTTTTCAGATACTTTTTCTGCATGTATTGATAGCATTGTGTAATTTCTTGTATAGATCTAGGCCTATTCAGATTATCAATTTCTTGTGTGAATTTTGGTAAATTGTGTCTTTCAAAGAATTAGTCCATGTTATCTAGGTTATAAAATTTGGGACACAGTTGTTCATAGTATTCCTTTATTATTCCTTTTAATGTTCATGAAATCTGTAATGATATTCCTTCTTTTATTTGTGATATTAGTAATTTATGTCTTTTTTCTTTTAGTTAGCCTGACTGGAGGCTTATCAATTTTATTGTTCTTTTCAAAGAACTGGGGTTTGGTTTTGTTAATGTTTTATTTCTCCAATTGATTTCCTGTTTTAAATTTCATTGATTTCTGCTTTAATTTTTATTATTTCTTTTCTTCTGCTTACTTTGGATTTAATTTTCCCCACTTTTTCTTGTGTCCTGAGGTGGATGCTTAGATGATTGATTTTTAAATCTGTTCTGATATGTGCATTCAGCTATAAATTTCCCTCTAAGGTCTGTTTTTGCTGTCTTTTGGTGGTTTCAGACCAATTTCCAATGTGTGTGGGAGTCGGGGGGTGGTGTTTCCCACACCAGCAGGGTGTCCAAGAATTCAACTCAATTCAACTCAAATCTAATACTATCTACCTGGACATATAGCATCAAGTTCTATAGGTTGAAGGCTCAGTCCAAGACTTACCAGTCACAAGCCTAGGTTGACGGATTGGCTGAGGATTGGCGGTTCCACTGACCCCTCCTTGGACTTAGGATGCTTGGACTTCAGATGCCAGTTGTAATTCCAGGTTACCAGTACTCTGACTGACTGACATATAAATCAGAAGTTCCTACAACCCCCTCTTTGGGCTCGTTTGATTTGCTAGAGCAGCTCACAGAACTCAGAAATATTTTATCTACTAGATCACCAGCTTCTTATAAAAGGATATAACTTAGGATGAGCCAGATGGAAGAGATGCTTAGGGCAAGGTGTGGGGGAAAGACACGGAGCTTTCATGCCCTCTCCAGACACGCCACTGTCTCCTAGAGCTCCAAGTGTTCAACTTGGAAGCCTTCTGAATCCCATCCTTTGGGGTTTTTATGGAGGCTTTGTTAAACAGGCATGATTACTTAAATCATTGTCCATTGGTGATTGATTCAATCTCCATCCCCACTCTCCTCCCTGGAGGTCAAGGGGCTGGGACTGAAAGTTTCAACCCTTAAATCACATGGTTGGCTTCTCTGTCAACCAACTTGTATCCTCAGGTGCATTCCAAAAGTCACCTTAACATTTCATCAACTTAGGAAATTCCAAGGGTTTTGGAAGCTGTGAGTCAGGAACTGTGGACAAAAACCAAATATATATTTCCTATAAATCACAATATTGCACATTTAAGTTCTGCTCTCGGCAAATTTCAGTTATCCAATATAACGCTATCAACTATAGTCACTGTATTATATATTAGATCCTCAGACTTTATTCATCTTATAACTGAAAGTTTGTATCCTTTTACCAGTCTCTTCTTATTTCCCTCCCCCCTCCACCCACCCCCTGGCAATCACTTTCTGTTCCCTGTTCCTGCGATTGACTTTTTTTTCTTTTTTAAAGATTGTACATATAAGTGATAACCATGCAGTATTTGGCTTGTTGCACTTAGCATAATGCCCTCCAGGTTCATACATATTGTTGTATATGACAGGATTTCCTTTTATTTAAGGCTGAATAATATTCGCGCGCGCGCGTGTGTGCGTGTGTGTGTGTGTGTGTACGTGTACCATATTTTCTTTATCCATTTATTCATCGACAGACACTTAGTTTGTTTCCATGTCTTGGTTATTGTGAATAATGCTGCAGTGAACATATGGATATCTCTTTTGAGATAATGGTTTCATTTCTTTTGGATATATACCCAAAAGTGGGATTGCTGGATTATATGGTAGTTCTATTTTTATTTGTTTTGTGGAACCTCCATGCTGTTTTCCATAGTGGCTGTACCAGTTTGTATTCCCTGAACAGCGTACAACGATTCCCTTTCTCCACATCTTTGCCAGCATTTGTTGTCTTGTCTTTTTGATAATAGATACCCTAACAGGTATGAGGTGATATGTCATTGCGGGTTTGATTTGCATTTCCCTGATGATTAGTGATGTTGAGCACTTTTTTATCTACCTGTTGGTCACTTGTAAGTCTTTTTTGGAAAAATGTCTATTCAGGTCCTTTGCCGATTTTTTAATTTGGTTGTTTTTATGCCTTTGAGTTGTATGAGTTCCTTGCATATTTTGGATATTAATCTCTTATTTGATATATAGTTTGCAAATATTTTATTCCATTCCGTAGGTTGCCTTTTCATTTTGTTGCTTTCATTTGCTCTGCAGAAGCTTTTTAATTTGATGTTAGGTAGTCCTATTTATATTTGTTTTTGTTGCCTTTGTTTTTGGTGTCAAATCCAAAAAAATATTGCTAAGACCAATGTCACGGAGCTTTTTTTCTGTGTTTTCTTCTAGTAGTTTTATGATTTCGGGTTTTACATTCAAGTCTTTAATCCATCTTGAGTTGAATTTTGTGTATGGCCTAACATAGGGATCCAGTTTCATTTTTTTGGGTGTGTGACCGTCCAGTTTTCCCAATACCAGTTATTGAAAAGACTATTCTTTCCTCATTGTATATTCTTGACTTTGCCATAAATTAGTAGACAGTATATACATGGGTTTATTTCTGGGCTCTTTGTTCTGTCCCTTTGGTCTCTGTGCCTGTTTTTATCTGAATATCATACTGTTTTGATTACTGTAGTGCTGTAATATAGTTTGAAATCAAGAAGTGTGATGTCTCCAGCTTTGTTCTTTCTCAAAATTTCTTTGGCTCTTTGGAGTCTTTTGTGGTTCCATACAAATTTTAGGATTGTTTTTGCTATTTTTGTGAAAAAAGACATTAGCATTTTGATAGAGGTTGAATTGGATCTATAGATTGCTTATATATTAGTTCTTCTTATCCATGAACATGGGATATTTTTCCATTTATTTGTTCCTTCTTCAGTTTCTTTCATCAGTCTTATAGTGTTCAGTGTACAGATCTTTCATCTCCTTGGTTAAATTTATTCCTAAGTATTTTATTCTTTTTTTTTTTTAAGATTTTTATTGGGGAATTGGGGGGCTGGGAACAGCAGTGGGGAATTGGGGGAAGGGGAACAGACAAGTTGCTGTCATTTTTTGTTCTTCGGTCTAGTTGTGGAGGACGTTGCTTCACTGGCCCAAGTTGGCACCATCATTGCGCTCTTCCCGGGTGAGGCAGATCAGTCGCTGG